CTTACTCACAGTGCTTCTTAAAACTGCCGTCGGCATTAACAGGGCAGGGCGTGAAGTCAAACATTACGTCTAACTTCCAAAAACATCAATATTTATTTCAGAAAAGTACAAATAAACCATGAGGCAAAACTTACTTCAAGAAGGGCAGATGGAGAAAGAGGATGATTGAGCGCTAGAGGATTTCAGGGAAAACCGATCTGCCACGTGATACTCGAGTCGTTCTGTAATTGGCCTGTGCTAGCCAATCAGCGTCCGTCTTTTTTCACTGTCATGGCTGAGTGCATAGTCGTCCATGTGACTCTTACCACTATTTGCTAATACATCATCCGCCAGTGGTTTCGTTCATTTTGTTATGGGTCTCTTTTATTATCATTTAATTAATCTTATTTGGGTTACACCATAACGTATCTTTCAGTTTAATCGATTTGCGAACCTCCCATAAGTGGAGCATCTTTTAAAATGACAACTTTGACTTTTGGAAGTGTTGAAAGAGAAGTATTGTTTTGGATATATATATATTTAAATTTTAAGAAAAAGTAAAAAAACAATTATAACAACTCGTACTAACTGAATTAATTTCTAAACCTATCCTAGTGAATTATCGATTTTTAATATGGATGGCACGCAAGCCTTTCAGAGAAGTTTAAACTGTCAACTGTATACAACTGCTTAAAATTATTAAAAATAGCTTTAAACGAATGAGATCTATAGGTCAGGTTGGACTATAATTCTTGAGACTTTTTTTTCTCGCTGTACAAAATCAAAAAGAGACTTACCAAATAACAAAAACCATTTCACTTGACTTTCAGCAGCAGCAATAACTGAAATGAATAGCACGATAAAATGACATAATAAGGGTCCCACACTATTTTAAACAGACGTGTAAGAAAGAATACTCTATCAATACTGGAAAGATCTATGACAACTAAACTATCAGCTTTCTCAGATACATGATTAAAATTGGCTTCTAGTGAATGAAACCTGTGTGTCTTGACAATGGCCATACATATTCGAAACTTCAGGACTGGCGCTACAGGATCACAAGCAAATAACCGTACTACATAACAGAATATACATCACTGGAAGGTTTTTTTTTCAATAACGAAAATGCATAGCAAATGAAAATGGAAGATATAATAATGGTATAATCATAATGTTGACATTCAATACTGGAATGTTTAAAAGAAGGTCCCATAAATACTGAAAAGAACGATAAAAACTATTCGATATGCTCAATTATGAAATAATGTTAAACGTACCAGTTTATATTACTGAGATGAGGTATTATGTACATTATTTATATAATTCGGACTATTCTCCTCATCTTTGTCGCCATATTTATTACAACGTTTCGGCCTTTCAGTATCTGTCTATATTTCTGAGATGAGGTATTATGCATACTATTCATATTATTCGGACTATTGCCTTCATCTTTGTCGCCATATTTATTACAACGTTTTGGCCTTTCATTACCTGTCTATATTTCTGAGATGAGGTATTATGTAGATTATTGACATTATTCGACTATTGTCTTGACAAAATCCAAAGAAGACTCTGCTACATTTTTGTTTAAAGTAGTCGAGAATTAGAAAGGCTGTATCAAAGGAAGAAAAGACCATGGGAGCAAAAACAGAGACGAAGAGATTTATTCAATACTCAGATTTTGAACGGAATAGATTTAGATTTATTCAATACTCATATTTTGAACGGAAAAACTTGAGTAAAACAACTACTGCTCACATCCTATTCTAATGTGCCTACTTGACATATTTATAAGTAGGAGCATTTGATTGTTACAGTAGTAGAGAAGAGCTGGAAGTACAGCGTCCTACTCTACAACAGTATCTATGCTGATAACACAACTATTTACTCCTATCGTCATAGTAATTCTGATCTAAAAATTACCTTCAATCTGTTGTTAATTGGGGCAAGGAATGGCATGTTAATTTTAACACAGGAAAGGAAACTACTCTCTATAAATCATCTTAAAGAAACATTTTGTTTTTCATCAGCATGGTTGATGCTAATCACCAAGAGAACAACTCACTGCACCTTTTTGGTCTTTCATGATTTTTACTGACATGAAATTGAAAAATCATATTGAATTGATTGCTAAGTCTAAAGCTAGGCAACTCGGCTGAATATGTCGAGCTAGACAATAATTTTCCTCCGGAATATGTTTTGCAGATTTATAAGTCTACAATTTATTCGTTTATTGAATGTTGCTGTCACATCTGGTCTGGTGCTTCTGCTATGCGCCAAGAGATTTTTGACAAAATCCAAAGATGAATCGGCAGCATTAACGGTCCTGGCCTAGCATCTCGGCTTCAGTAAATTATCGACCACGTAGATATAGACTGCTATTAAATTAATAATGTTGTCTATGTGCTTTGTTATATATTTATAGACGACTCATGTCTGCATAAAAAGGTCTCTGAGTTCTTTTCTTTTACTTTATTCTCAACCAACAAAAACGATGCTAAGAATATTTGACAAGATCTTTTTGTACTCGAGTTCCCGTTGTAAAATCTTTACCAAAACGGTTCCACATCTATTTTCTTCATCCCTGATCCCCGTATCACTTCGATTTGCTT